GAAAAGTAACAGTCTTTTTAGGTTAAAAATGTGTATTTTATCGATTAATCCAACAGTTTTGTGGAGTATCTACTCTGTGTTGAGCATTAGGGTAGGAATAATACAGTGAACACCACCTTCAGGGTTCCTCCTCTGTGTTTATCACAGAGGAGTGGTTCTCAAAGTACGGTCAAGGGGAACCTGGATGCAGGGGTAGGTGGGACCCTGAGGGGACACTGCTCTGCTAGCTAATGGAATGTATATAAGAATTCATTTATTTCCTATTATGTCAGATATTATAGAGATCTGAAAAAATGTAAAATAATGCAATTTTCTTTGTTTTAGAAAATATTTTTCCTAAAATTTATGTTATTTATGCTAATATATAATGGGTTTTTTTTAAATGTTTTTGTGTTAATGGTGCTTTGGTGGGATAAGGGAGGACAGACGTCAGTTACAGAACTCTCAGCAGTCACCACCATTAAGGGATGGAAGCTGTGTGCAGCATGTCAAGTGCACGGCAACAGCAGAGGAGCGGGCTTCCATGTGGTCTGGCTTAGGGGCAGATGCAAGCCAACTCCTTTCGTTTTAAACACAATAGAAATATGGTCTTTGGAAGAGGGAAGAGGTGGCGAGGCTACTCTCTGTCACAACTTGGGGAAGGCACACAAACCATCTGACTTGGTTTTATAGAAAAGGGTGAACCCCAAATGCTGGAGGACTTGGGTCATATAGTGAGTTTGGATTTTGCAAGCAAACTTCGATATTTCCTTGATCCATCTTCTATATGAAGAAACGAAGGCCTAGAGAAATTAAAGTTATGGCAGAGTCAGGCTACAATCTACATCTCCTGACTGCTGGTCTAGTGCATTTCTGGCGACTCCATTTCAATATCATCTATAAAGTCTCTTAAGATAATATCACTGATAAAAGTCACTTCTATTATTGATAATTGTTAACTGTTAAGAAGAGTAAATAATCACAACTGTGTCTTCTATCAAAAATGTTGCTATTATCACCTTTTAGTTGCATGAGCTTATTCTTATTTTAAATAATTCATAAATATTTTTTAATTTCTCAGTTTAAATTTCTAATTACAGTAAATATCAACAGATACAACCCACATAAACAAAATCTCTCTGGAGATCCTCAATGATTTTTTTAAGCGTATAAAGGCGTTCTGAGACCAAAAAGTTTGAGAACCACTGTCACAGATGAGATGAGATGGCTGTGCACCAGAATATTAATAGTGGTTATCTTCAGGTGATGAAATTGGAGGTGGTTTTTATTCACTTCTTTAGTTTGTTAGTATTCTCTACATTCTCTAAGAGAAGAAAAAATTAAGTTACTTTTAAAAAATAATGGCTTCTTTTTTCTTTCTTACAGGTGTCACAGCACTTTACCTTATGTGTGCCTTTCATGTGTCACTGTGCTCTGAACCAGTGACTTACAGCCTTCTTAAAACTCAAACTGATTGGACAAGAAGACTTTGTTAAGCTTTGTTTTGGTGCTTTGTAATAATAACCAAAATCTTGGTTTTAAATTATGATAATAGAAATATTTGATTGCTTATAATAAGCCAGGCACTCAATTCTCAATTAATTCTCAAGCACTTAATTCTCAAATCAACCTTCAGAAGATATATGTCTAGCTTGCCTAAATTACACTATTTTAAAGCAGATTTTCCCCTCTGCCTGAGTACAACTGATTGAGATGGAGGTGAAAGCTTTACGGGTACTGTTTTCCACAGGCCTTTGTAATGGTGAGACAGAGCCAAGTAACACTTGGCTCTTGAAGACATTTTACAGGTTAAGGAACACAATTACAAATAACCAATGTCTGCTTAGGGCTATGCTAGGCATTTTTCTCTATTCCAATGGTTCCCAAGCTTTTTTTTTTTACGTAAGAATCACCTGAGGAGGTTGTCAAAAAATGCATCTTCTCCAGTCCTCAGTCTCACATATTCTGGTTTACAGAGTCTGTGGCAAAACTCAAGAATCTTCATTTTAACAAGTCTTGCAGGTAAAGTTCCCTTGCAGAGCGGCCCCTCCCACTCCACTGAACCTGATATCTTCCACATCTCCAGAGATGTCTTAGAGGTTAAACCAGTGTCCTCCTCTAATCATCTCCTTGTCTTCTTTGCAGCTCTACCATGTTGACCATGCCTTCTCCTGCTGATCATTCTTTCACATTCTTCTTTGCCTGACCCTTAAATGAAACCATTCCCCAAAGACCAATGCTCAGCCACTTTTCCTTTTTCACTCAATAAGCCCCATTGCTGGGTAAACTCACCTTCACCTATGCAGTATAACCGCTATATAGAAGTTTCTCAAAAGGCATCAAACTCCGTGCTATCTCCTGGTCCCAGGTGCACATTTCTAACTGCCTCTCAGTGTTCCTCAGACTCCTCAAATGTTATGGCCCAAACTTTCCTTCTCTCTCTATGTACTCACAAGCTGAGAGCAGAAGCTAATTTACCATTGTCTCTGACACTCACTCTCAAAGACTTGCAATCTTCTTTACCTGTCTCTCATTCCCAGTATCAAAGCAGTTACCCAACTTGGTCCTACCCATAAAATTCCCCTTATAGCTTTTCATGCTTTTGTTACTACCCTCATTAAGGCCTTTTAAATCTCACCAATTCCATCCTAAATGGTTGAGTGTTCTCTCCCCTTCACAACCTCCTAGAAAAGCCACTTGAATGATGTGTTCAAATGTATGGCTGATTAGATCACCCTTTGATCAATGACTCTCAGAGGTGTTACTTTTCTGTTGCTCAAGGCTATCCACTAAAATCTCCCAATTGGTTTCTTTCCCACACATGGCTGGTCTTCCTACTACCTACTACTGGTTCTTCTACTACCTACTACCAGTTCTATCATTCTTCAAAGTCCAATTCAAGGGTAACCCTGAGTTCCCCAGAAGGAAAGTGAAATAGGCCTTGTAGGAGGTTAGAAAGGGAGATGCCCTCAAGTTCTATCTGTTGTTCAGTTGTATTTAATGGTACAAAAGAGTATCAGGTGACCGCTACGAGTTTAAGAGTGTTCAAATACCATTAATATATTAACTAGAGGCTTGAATATCATAAGCAAGCAGTTTCAATAATAAATAGTTATTATTATAGAGACCATCCACAGAGAACTTACCAAGTACTTCAAATACATTACTGTGTACATTTACAACAATTTGATGAAAACAGAATTACGACCTTCATTTTACAGATAAAGAAAACAGATTTCCTAAACATGTAACTCCAAAGTTACACAATTGGAAGTGGTGGACCAAAAATTTGAATGTAGGTCTGTCTGACTCTGAAAGTCTATCGCGCACCACTGTGTCTGTCACTCGCTGAAAAGTTGCAACATGGTCCACAAGTGCTGTGGGCTGACTGACAGAGAAAGACTGTAACCTTCAGTCTACCATTGAGTGAGCTCTAAGTTTATGCAGACAGCCCATCAGACATTGATTTAAGACTACGTAGAATGTAAAAGCATATTTGGAATGCATAGGTTGATTGTTGAACATCTGAGTATATCTCTATTAGATGACAGTATTATATTCCAATTTCTTTCATTACTAGTTTGCTTTCTTAAAGCTCTTAAAGGATTATCTCTTTGATTACAGTTCTTAAGTTCTCACTTAAGAGACTGTTTAGAGGTTCCTGATAAAAGGGCTCCATCTAGTGGAGCAATTCAACCATATAGCAAGACAGACAGAAGTAGCAAGGTTAAGTCCCTTACACCAAGGCCTAAAAATGATGACAGTTTCAGAGAAATGATGTTTGCTCTGACATGTACGATGCCTAGTTTTCACCATGCCTTGATAAAAAGGAAGAAGATGAAGATGCTATGGACAGAGGTAAGGTACATGCAAATACTCTGGGGTCCGCTATATAAATGCAAGGCATTGACCATCGTCCTAGTTAAGATACCAAAGTGGCTCTACTCTGTGGAGTTAAAAGCACTAATACATGAGAGCCCTGGCTAGGCTTTGGGAAAAAACAGGGATTACAGATCATTGTTATCCCTAGTAACTCCCACAAGCCAAATATTGTGTAGGGTCTTAAATGCCTGCTGAAAAAGTCCAAATACTTCTATAAGGTCGATAAAAATTCCATGGTTGAATAACTTTTAAAAGAACTACACACCAATACTTCAATTATCTGTGATTCCTTTCCTTCAGAGCCTCAATTACCCAGACATGGGAAGCTCAAAATTGCCTTTGTGCAACCAAAGGAAAAACCAAGGTTTGTTCTTCAAGCGCTCTCATTTATATGCTCTTGCAATAACAAGCAGGAATTGAATGCCTCCTACCTCTACCAGTTGCTGATGGAAAAAAAAATCAGAAATATCAAAATACTAGAAATTCCATTATTTTAGACATATTCAAATAAAAAACCAAAGCCCACTGCAGATGTGAAGAATCAATTTGAAATGGGAGAAGAGGAAAGCAGGAACCAAGCAAGCACAATAATAGCAGCAAAATGTAACCACTCATGTCCTTATTAACAATGGAGCGGAAGGTAAAATCTAGAAATGCTGAATGAAACACTATACTCAAAAAAGAGAGCCGTCTGGGGCAATTAGCTCTCCAGCACCATAGTGGCCATTAAGAATAAGCATATTTTTCAATGGATGTTCATGAAGCTTCTTCCAGAAAAAGTTCTATAACTTTTAAAAGTCAAGAACATACTTTTGAAAATTTTCCACAAACTGACTGTCATCCAAGGAACCTTTGGTGTGCAAAGGATTATGGCAACTTGTGTCTTTTAGAAAACTTGTTTGTTTAGAACTCTTTCTTTGTGAAGATTTTAGCAAATGAGGCATCGCTGTAATAGTCTGAGATGCTAAATGCTGTTTACGGACATGACTTTTCCCCATGAAGAGACAGTGGACATGGATTTGACCATCTGCAGAAGCGAGGGGCAGAGCCGTCAAAGATGACCCGCCATGTCAACACAAGGCAACAGTGTCACCACTATTTTTTTTTTTTTACTTTGTTTAAGGGTTTTAAGAACTTACCGCCCAGAGGAAATTGGCTTAAGCGAACCAACATTTTCAAATAGCTGGGCTTTAGCTGCCACACTGAAAAATAATTTTAAAACACAAGTTTCATTAAAATCAATCAGAAAATCATTCAGCTCAAAGTGAAATTCAGGGTTATCAGTTGACCCAAACAAAAAGTGATGAGTTAAGAACTGTCCCCAAAATTTGACCCGCATTTCAATTGTTTTAAGCTTTCATGTGAAAGAAATTTTTAGATCCAGTCTCCAGCTCACAGAGCGCCAGACTTAATAAACCTACAACTATCTCCTCTGGGGCTCTTACTGTCCTCATCTTTTCTACCTCAGAAAACTGTGGGAGCAGAAAAAGGAACATTTTTTTCTCCCCACTCGGCTCCTGGCAGCGATGTTACTGACACCTGTGGAGTCACAGGGCAAGAATCAAATCAACATGACAAAAGAAGAACTGTTATTCATTCTGATAGCTAAGACAAAACTAACTCTAAAATTGTTTCATGTATTTTTTTTATACTTGAACACAGGTCCTATAAAGTGAAAAGAGAGAACTCTGAAAATATGGCCAAAAAATAAATTTGTTGGATCCAAATCTTGTTTCAAATCATGGGGAGGGAAGGGCATGGTCTATTTGAAAAGGTGCGACTACTGGGTAGAGAGAGAAAAGAATTAAAACTAAGTAAGGGCACCCTAGGTAATTAGAAAAGTTTGTAAAATCTCTTATTTCTTTAACTGACAAACTTTTCTCCCAGAGTCAAGCCATTTGATAATCTGAAGGATCATTTTACACCTAATAAAGAACATACACTCTTCTCAATTTTCATTTCTACTTTAACCATCAGTACAATTGCAAAGCAGCTCTTCTCCTTCCCTCACAAAGGATGGAGTGAGTTTATATTCTCCCATCTCCCTTGACATATTGGCTTAAAATTTAATTTCCCTCAATGACAAGAACTATACATACTGGGGAGTAGACAGATTTACAAATCTATTTGTCTATATTGTGGAAGCTGGATTTCTGACCAAGAGAAATAACAGACGTTAAACACACTCGGAAACTAAAAGGTTCTTGTCAAAGAAAGGGATGAATGAATGAATTTAAGACACTGCTCCCATGGAAACAGGCTTAGTAAAATGTCTTACTGGACTTTCAATGAATAATTAAAACGTCAGGAATACTACCATATTAAATATGGGCATGGTATAACAGAAACAGCACAGATTCAAATTCAAGAACCCTGGGTTGGAATCCCAGCTCTGCCACTTACTAGCTGAGTGTGTGTGGACTGGTTCCTCAACTTTCTACGGAGTCTTAGTTCTCACCCTCTCTAAGGTGAGGTCTAGACTACCTACTGCAGAAGGACACTGTGGCCCTTAAAAGAGACATCATATGTAAAGACGCCCAGGAAGAGCTCATATAGCATCTGGAAAAGCTCAGCAAGAGTCAGGAAAATAAAATAAAAGGAGAAAAACTTTACTCTTTGGATTTTGCTTATTTATCCAGGTTCCATTTTCTCCTCTTTGCCCCATTTCTGTTCACCTCTGTGTACCCTACCCTATCAGCCTTTACACTTGTGGGTCATTCTTTTCTTTAGAAGTACTTCCCTTTGCCTTTCACACTCCTTGTTCTCTATGAGTTTGTTTGAATCAGTGAGTACTCAGATAGGAAAGACATATGATGGAGAGGAGAGAACATCAACCCTCACAAGCTAGAAAGCAGTTGTATTTCCAACAGAGAGGGGTGAGCTGGGATGTGGGCAGTCTCCTCAGCTGAGAGGGGGATGGTTAGCTTTTATAGGAAGGCATCTAGTTTCAAAGCCCAAAACTACTATGATATACATCTATCCTCATGACCTAAATTAACCAGTAGTTCTGCTTCTAAGGAGAGTGCCTGAAGTGTCTCCCCATGAAAGTGTTTATACATATCTTAACCCCACTCTAACTTTCACATCATTTGTAGAAGAGGACACAGTCCTACAGAAGTTGACTGGGCCCACTGTATAGATGAGGCATTCAGCTGTGGGACTCATAAGGGTTCACTGGACATACTCAACGCCTGTGTATCCCTGGAAGACACAGCAAATACAAACTCGCTCTCACTTACACAGAGCCAGGTCGCTGGTAGCCATTGCTTGAGGCAGTGTCAAGCCTTAACCTCCTGCACATTTTTGGAGGCAGGTCTGGGTTTGGTGGGGCTTTGGGCGTCTCTTTGGAACCTATGGAAGTTAGGCTTTGAATGGATCCACCATAGCTCTTGTTTCCTAAAAAGAAAGCCCAAGAAAACAGGCAAGGTGCTATCAGACAAAATAATAGCAATAACACAGCACATGTGCATAACAAAAGGAAGCATTTTTCTCTGAGCCCAAATGAGAAGGTACAGAATGTTCTTTAAGCACAGCAGCCCATCACTCAAGGAGATCACAATCTACAGTAATTACAAAGACACCACCTCACAGAGATGGAAAGATCCAGGAAAAAAGTCACAGCACACAGGAGTTTTAAAAATCCTAGCTCAGGAACAAAGTAGATAAGCATTGTTAGTCTCTTCGCCATTAACTTCCCCTCGTTTGATCATGCTGAATACTCAGGCGAGTGACACAGAGAAAATGACATCTTGCATAAGCTCCACTCTGGCTTACCCTCAGCTGCAGAGATGGATCTGAGAGATGAAGCTGAGGCTCTTTTCAGTCCTGAAAGCCCATAAGGCCCTTTCTTGGTCAGGTCTATGGGTGGGGAAGCATCCCCTGGGCTAGTGACCGAGGCAACACTCTGGCAATCGGATTCTGCATCTGTTCTGGTTGCATCTTCTCTAGAACTTGACTCAGGACTAGTTGTCCAGAGACCAAGACTTTTCTGTCCATTGGAAGGTGATGGGGATGCAATCCAAGGAATCCCTCCAGATTTCTCCCTGGGCTGGCAGGAGGCAGACTTTGTAGTGCTGTTTTGTTCAGAGGAGTGAGAGGAGAGTGACTCGATGCTCCCCATGGGTGTGCTGTCTGGGCTGCTGCTATAGGAGTCACCTGAGCGGGGGTGGGAGAGAGGAAAGAACAGTGGCTCTCTGTTGAGAATAGCACCACCAGAACACTTCTGCTCTCCAACTCACTTGTGCTCCGTGGCCACCTGACCCCACTGAAGCAACAGGCCTCTACCTGGTATGGAGAACTGTCCTCAGTACCGGAGAAAGGCTTTAAAATAAGCATTTGAATTGGTGAGCACACTTTCTATACTATTCAAGGGAGATGTTTTATGTACCCTACCCCTATGAAATAATGTTACTTCTTGCAGCATTAGTGGGCTGACTTGAATTCAGACAAAATTTGCTTCTGAAACACGACTCACAGATAAGAGAAGTAAGATTCCTTCATATTACAAGAAATCAATGGAAAGAAGGATATTAAAGACATATTTTGGCCTTCTTTTACTTTTCTGATCTTGGGTGATTCTGAGTTACAAGGCATCCGAGTCCTTCATTCAAAGGCACCATTAAATGTCAGCTGCAAATTATAAGCTGCTCATGATTTTTAAAGAAAGGACGTTTTCCTTTTCCTGCTAAGAATATAGTGACATAAGAAACTGGCTATTTAACTGGGTGGATTTTTTAACGTTCCTAAAAGTAAGGTGTAAGAAAAAAATCAGAGAAACTGTAATAAAGTCTTCAAATATATCTACATTAAAAACCAGTGTTTTCTATTAAATATTGATTGTGGGAAAAATTGGGGGAGGTGGCATGTATAAAATAAAATTAAAATGGCCACAGTTTACCACATGCTATGGGCTCAAGCTGCCACCCACCTCATCGTGGGGCTTGGCTCAGAATAGTAAGTTAGTGATAATGTGTGGCGTAGTTTCTCTTTTTATTTCTTTTCTCTGAGACACTTTGATACCCAAGAGATGATGCTTCAAGAACATAATGTGAAAGGAAGAAAGAAAATGACTGCTTCAGCCAGACTTTCTCTTGCTTTCCCCCCTACCACTTTGACAACAGGACAAAACCTGCTACAAAGTAGCACCCGATGTACTTAATCACACAGTTGCAGAAAAGGGGGCATTGAGCAAACCACTTTTGTCCTTTGTAGCAGTAATGAATTTGCTTGTCCAAGGTCCCTTGCAGCTAGCTATACTGACGGAGAATATACAAATGTCAGAAGAGGGGGGCAGGTGTTGGGGAGACAGCATCAGTAAGAACATCCTCTATGTCTACCTAATTACCAATAAGGTGAGGTAAGGCTGAATTAAAGAATGAAGAAAGCAGCTTCCTAGGCCAGCACACTTACTATCGGGTTCTGCCAAGCAGGGGGTATACCTCCCTCTGGGCTTCCGGGAGCCTGTGGAGAGGCAGATCGCTCGTGTCCTTCGGGATCCAGATCGAGACTGAGGCTGAGGAAGAGGAATGCTCGGGTCTGGGGCTGTATGAAAAATCTACATAGAAGAAAAATGGGCCGAGGTCAAAAAAGGGTGAAATGGCCATTTTCGTAGTAAAATAAGCTTTGAGAGTTATCAAACTATCTTAGAACTATATGCTACTTAATCAGTTGCATGGCAAGAGATCCTTGATACAAAAAATAAATATCCTAGAGCAATTATGACTTTCTTTTCCATTTACATTGGGTCATGTGTCTTCTCTGAGTTTTCTTTTTTATTCTCCTCCATTCCCCAACAGTAAAATTCAGAAGATTTTCCAATAATTTTAAGAAACCTTTCAAATACAAACAAATGTCTATGTCAAAACACACTGATTCCTTTTACTGTGATACTCTCTTTCTCTCTTCATGCTGAACATAACCCAAGGGAGAGGGGCTCATTCTGTATCATTTCCCCAGCTGAGCGGTCCCTTGCGTCTCAGGAAAAGGTGCTGTCATGCTCTTGGCCCTGAGCTGTCAAGGAATGTGACAAGCTGCAGGTAGAGGTCTGAGGACAGCTCCAGGATGCAGCCACGTGCTCTTGGGTTGTGAGAGAGCTTACAAACTTAGGTGGGCACAAACGGTATTCTTCTACAGGCACTAAGATGGGAACCAGGGCAAGAGCGAGAGGCACAGTCCTTCTCTCACAAGGACTAGATCAGACATAAATGAATCACAAATGTTTAGACCTTCAATGGCTGAATTTGCTTAATAATCCAATCAGTTTGGCTATCCCAATTTCCCATGTCCATAGTTATTCTAAGATCTTGCTCTTTTAAAGAAACCCTCAGGGATTGGATACAGAAAGAACAAGACTCTGTTCCCTGAATTTTTTATTTTTTTTTAATTTAGAATACCACCTCTGCTGTATAATTAAGAGTCTAATTCCAGAAAGATAAAAAGGCTAAAATGGACTTAACCACAAAGTGATTCTAAAGTATTCTCTGAATATGAGCAAAAAACTGACCACATAAATGCTAACGGAGAAAATCTTGAAAAGTAAATGATAAAAGAGGAAAGGAAACTATCTACCTGGAGGATTTTGAGAAGCACTGAAAAACTGAACAAGAAAGAAGAAAATTAAAGTCCTCACGAAGAAGTAATTTATACAAAATTTACAAGACCAACATTTTACAGGAATCTGAGATCACAATGTGAAGCTCCTGGATGATACAAATGCAAAATTCCTTCTTCAAAGCAAGATACAAAATTCCATACTTTCATATGAAAATTCAGCCTACCTTTTCATAGTGCTCTATAAGAATTTCAACCACAATATTCTGAAATTTAATATTCATCATGGCAGCCACAGTTTCTTCCTGTGCTCTCATTAGGGTTGGGCCAAAAATGACACCAAGGTTTGAGACAGTCATGAGATTTTGTTGGCTGTGTAGTGATACTCTGCAAATAAGAGGAATAAAAATACCTTAAGCTAAATGTTTAATAATTATGAAATGTTCTCATCTATCAAGTTTCTGGCATAAATAAAATGTAAAATATGCCTCTATAGGCTAATTTCCCAAATAGTCAGCTTCAGCCACTCCCAATTTGCATTAGTGGGTATAGCCTAAAAAATTAACACTAGTCCAAGTAAAACATAATTACAAAGGTTAATCTATTGAAGGAAAAAATTTTGATATTTAAATCGAGTACAATCTCCCTAGAAAGATTATCAGCTGTTTGGTATTTTCTATGGTACTATACTTCTTTTAGAACAGACGGTTAAAAGTAGACTAGTTGTAATTATATTCGAATTCATGAAATTTATTATTGAGAACTTACTGCCAGGCATTTTCATAGATATTATTATGTTTAATCCTCCTAGGAAGTCAGTTTTTCCTATTGTACAGGTAAAAAATGTGAAGCTCCTAAAGTAAAAATGATGTACTCAAGGTCACAGCAAATTAGGGACAGAGATGCTATTTTAATTCAGGTCTCCTGAATGCAACTCAAAGGTTTCCTGGAGCTCCCCACGTAAGACAACTGGCCAACACATGTTTCCATCCTTCCTTCCTTCCTTCCATCCATCCATCCATCGTTCCTGAGTGCCTCCCTAGTGCTGGGCATTGTGCAAGGCAAACAGTAAGACAAGGAGATGTGGCAGCATCAGTGCTGGCTTGAAAATGGAAATGGAACGAAAGGGTTCTGATATTATTGACCTTAGCAAAGTAATCCCAGTAACTATCTAAAATGACTTTGACTAATTAACTAATTTGGAAATTGGATATACTATTAAGAGGAAACCTTGTTCACTTGACCCCCCCCCTTCTAGGTTAACCATTGCCTTTTCTATCTTACTCCCAGCCAAGTTGTTAGAATATAAAGTTCTAGGAAGGAGCACAACATAAGATTATGTTTATATCTGACTGAGTATGCATCAGTAACTACATTCCATACCCAGAAGTAAAATTTTATGGGGAATCCAGGATTTTGGATTACTCATGCCACTCTCGGCACAGGACAGGAAGAGCTGACTGTCCCATTGACGGAATTTTTCCCTTGTGCCCAAAAAAGTACTTGCTAAGAAGACTCTTGGTTACAGTAAGAAGAGTTTTTTTTATATAGCAAAATATTATATATTAATTGATTAATACGTATTAGAGAATCTACTAAGAAAGTAGTACGTAAAGGCAGGAAGCCTGTCTGGATTCAAAGCTCGGATCCTTCCAACTTGGCAGCTGGGTACAGTCAGCCAAGATATTTCATATCTCTAGGTTTCAGTTTCCTCATCTATAAAGTATAAGAATAACAAGCAAGGGCCAGCCCAGTGGCGCAAGCGGTTAAGTGTGCGTGCTCCGCTGCAGCAGCCGGGGGTTCACCGGTTCGGATCCCGGGCGCGCACCGACGCACAGCTTGGCAAGCCATGCTGTGGCTGTGTCCCATATAAAGTGGAGGAAGATGGGCACAGATGCTAGGCCAGGGCCAGTCTTCCTCAGCAAAAAAGAGGAGGACTGGCAGATGTTAGCACAGGGCTGATCTTCCTCACAAAACAAACCAAAAAAAAAAAAAGAATAACAAACATTATAGGATTAAGAAAATTAAGTAATGAGTTAAATTAAATGAAATATGATCTCAAAATAATATTCTTCCCTGTAATTAAATTGGCTTTAGGCACTCTTGCCAAAATGTAAGAGTTCCTGGGAAGTAAACTGGAATATGATTAAGCTCGCTGGAAATAAATTTGGAAAGCCTAAAAAAATGATCTGTTTTGAAAAGAAGAATTGATGCCTATGTTTTTCAAAAGATGGAATTTTTTGATGACCAATTTTCTCTTCATTGAATTTCCCTTCTGCTGGGTTACCAAGTCGATACAGACCTCTCTCACCCTGCATTTCAGCCATTTCTGTACCTCATTCCCTCAATTTGTGTAAGGAACAGACACCCAACTGCACTTTTAAATATTTAGTGTCGAAGAAGAGACCACAGATGGTCTTTTTTTAAGGACAAAAAAAAAAAAGGATTCTCAGAAACGAAGTAATGATTTATACTATGTTTCAGAGCTAATTAATAGAGATTTGGAATCAGTCCTTTAGTTGTTGGTCCTTTAGACAAGTAACCGATCAAAGTTATGGGTCTTAAATTCTCTTTTCTTCAGCCATGCTAGGTTGCCAGGGACCAAGAATGCTATTAGTTGTTTGTAGTTTACTTAAGTAAGTCATTGGTGATGTGGGTGCACATTCCACCGAAGCTGCTCAGTCAATGGACCTTTTATAGGTTCAAAAAAAGAGCCAGGAACGGTGGTGCACGATGGGCAAAAGAATTTTAAGCACTCTTCCATGGGCAAATATTCTCCCCTGCTATTCCCTGTATCAAAGCCACCACATTCACATTAAAGGGTGAAGCTTGTATTCATCTAACATTCTGGATAATGAAGCAAAAACACTTTATGTGACACTTGTAGCTTTTAAAAGCAAGTTTAAAAAGTCTTTGCTAGAAAATTAGCTTGAATACAGCAAGAGAATGAGAAATAAATACAGTGTGGTTAAATTTCATGAAAAGGTTACACAATTCAAAAAGATAATCAAGACTAATTCTGACCAAGGATACTGAGTCCTTCTCATTAACTAAAAAAGGTGTTGTCATGGGCAATAGTTAACAATGAACTTGAAATGATGTCATTTCTACTGGATTTCCTTCTTATTTCAAGGCAGGGTCAATTCATATTATCTCAAAGCCTACAAGTTAAGATGAGACTTATTAATACGTTATGTAGCACTATGTCAAGTGTGCATGGCTCAAATCAACATAAATTGGGTTCCTACTTCTAACAAATAAGGAAAGATTAATCATGTGATTGTGAATCATGGTACTCATTAAGATGGAAAATGTTCCTATTGGTAAATGAGGCTGTAAGGGAATTCTAAGTTTAAAACCTAAATTTGGACTTTTGTTTCCAGTAGCATGGCAAACTTCTGGAATAAGTATGTGTGTATGTGTGTGTGTGTGTGTGTGTGTGTGTGTGTCTCTCTCAATCTTTAGACAGATCTGCGATGGTTAATTTTATGTGTTAAATTTGCTAGGCCACAGTACCCAGACATTTGGTCATGCATAATTCTAGAAGTTTCTATGAAGGCATTTTTTAGATGAGAGTAACATTTAAATCAGCAGACTTTGAATACAGCAGATTACTCTCCAAAATGTGGATGGGTCTCATCCAAACAGTTGAAGGTCTTAAGAGAGAAAGACTGAGGTCCCCTGAGGAAGAGGGAATTCTGCTTCCAGACTGCCCTGGATTCGAGCTGCAACATCAACTCTTCCCTAGGTCTCCAGCCTGCCAGCCTGCCCTGCAGATTTCAGACTTACCGGCCTTCACAATTGTGCAGACCAATTCCTTGCAATCTATCAATCTCTCTCTCTCTCTCATAAATACACACACACATACGTGTATATAAGTCTATGTATGTAAGTGTGTAAGTGGATGTATATATGTATATATATACATACACAAACATCCTATTGGTTCTGTTTCTCTGGAGAAATTGACTAATACAATATCTATCTATCCTAGAGAGTTTCAAATACATAGATGAACTAACAGCAGAGTCAGAAAAATCTTCAGAGACCAAGAGATACTATGAATCCAAAGAAGGAAGCTAACACTAGAGTGCCAGTTTGACCTGGCAGAACCTGTCGACCCTTACAATGTACCTAAAAGAACTGGGAAAAAACTATATACTCCTTCATATATTTTTAAGTTGACATGCAAGTTTTTCATCATTACTTTAACAATTGCAAAGGATATAATTATTTGCATATTGTAAACCTACACAGGTACACACATACATACATATAGCTATATCTGAAAAATAAACTGCTACACCATTTTTTAAGTACATTCAATGGACTCTGGTTAAAACAGCAATGTTGGGCTGGCCCCGTGGGTTAGCAGTTAAGTGTGCGCACTCCGCTGCTGGCGGCTGGGGTTCGGATCCCGGGCGCACACCGATGCACCGCTTCTCCAGCCATGCTGAGGCGGCGTCCCACATACAGCAACTAGAAGGATGTGCAGCTATGACATACAACTATCTACTGGGGCTTTGGGGGAAAAATAAATAAATAAATAAATAAGATTAAAAAAAAAAAAGAAAAGCAAGTTGAAGTGTGTAAATTAAAAAAAAAAAAAAAAAACGGCAATGCTACAGCACCATCACACACTTTAAAAAGACACAAACAAGGTTGCTGACCAAGTAGTTAAGTGAACAATATGAGTCAGAGAATTACTTGACCAGGTGCTTTATTAAGATGTCCAGCATCTCTCTGTTTTTCTCTGGCAATCTGTGCACCAAGGCATGCACAGCCTCCACCCGGTAGTTCTGGTCATCAGATTCTGTAACATAACGGTTGGAAATGTTGAAGTTTTAATTGCATTCAAATTTGTACATAAACAATAATAATCTAAACATCATAACCACTCCCATCCCTCATGCCTTATAGGCACTGCTTCCTGTGGTAAGTATTACCACTATCATTTCCTAAGGCTTAGAGAGGTTGAGTAATCATCCATGGTCGTGAAGTTATTAAGTCAAATGAACCCAGTTCTATCTAAGTCAGACCTGTGGTCTTAGCTCTTGAACTATATACCTCCATACAACCATAACTCATCACTGGCTTTGGTTTTACAACACAAGGATAGAATAAAACCTTTAGCAATGTGAGTGATCATAGCAATTGTCACAGACTGCCTAAGGACCAGAGAAAGCAGGCATTCCTTCCCAAATTTTACAGATTCAAAGACAACAGGAAATCACTCTTTGAGGTGTCAGGATTATTACGCAAACATAGGCCTAGTAGATTTTAAGCCCATGCTGACAATGGTAAATCTGAAAAGCAAAAAATCATCTAAAGCAAGTCTAGTCTGCCAGGCAAAAGCCAAGATGCTGACATCTAGAAAAACATCTACCACTCCAGAATGAGGAATCTATTTAACATTCTCTCACTACAGTAAACAAATTCTGGGGTGACTGTCTAACCTGCCAAGCCCTTTCCCCAGAAAGTGCCCAACACATAAGGTTTATATTATGGGACCATCTCTTCTGGGCGCAGCCATTTGGACATAAGGCATAAGAAAGAGCCTGGCTCAGGCTGGGCCAAACATGAGGTCTCTCCCAGGAGCTAGAATGGAGACACCATAACTCTGATCTGTCTGCTGGATATGTGAAAAAGCAGATCATGTAAAATCAGGGCTGACATGACCAAATGTGCTCCAGAGCCAAGAACACCTGACCGGAAGGGAAGACAAGAATGAGGCAGATGAGCAGCAAAGAGCAGAGATGAGAGATCCTCCAAAAAGAGCGAGGAGAGAAATGTCAATTCCCAACTTTGCAGTTCCTGGTTGCAGGCTCATGGAAGACCTGACTCATCCTCTGCCAGGGAATTCTATGGGATGCCTCGTAGTCTCTGAATAATTTCCCCTTTTTACAGAGCTGGATTTCTGTTGCTTGAAACCAAATAGTACCTAACTTTATTAACTTAACATCTAGTAAATGGGAGTATCCTCGACCCAGACAAAAGATGGATTCTTATATATAAGAACACATTCTAACTATCATTGTAGCAGTGAATGATATGATCATTATTCGCCACAGAAGTGGAGAAAAAAATCTCGCAACCAAATGTTTGTATCAACAACCAGCTCAGTGAGCCATTTTAGCTAAGTGGTTCAAACGCCATTTGTTATAAAAAAAATGTTTTTCTGTGAGAAAGAATTCTAGGTGCAGAGTCAAAAAAACTGGCTCACAGCTCTGGTTTTGCCATGAATTTTCTAGTGTCCTTGGACAAAGTCACTTGCTCACTCTGGGTCCTAGGAGATAATAATGAGAAATTGGATTATCTATTTTCCAGGGTCTTATTCATCTAACGAAGATAGATTTCAATGAAGAGAAGGTAGAGGGGAGAGCTTTCAGGAGAAAGCTAAGTCGTACAGGTGTTTACACGATCACGTGGTCAAGTCATGTATGCTGGATTGAAAACCAAGGTCACTCAACTTTATCTGAGGCTTTTATCAGTAGACAACATTTCCTGTGACATTACAATGTGTAGTAGTAAACTAATGTAATTGATTTCTTTCTTGGATTGTGAAAAATACTTGTTACAGTCACACCTCATACATCTTAACAATGAAATGCTAACTCCTAATTGTTACAAACTGTGATGGGCTTAGGTGGCAACCTGGCATTTTGGTCTCAATGATTTAAAAGTACTATTTCTAACTTCTCAGGTTACATGTTTCTCACTGACCCCCTCCCCACAACAGGTTTTAATTAAACCTATCTATTCGTATCCCATTATGACAATCACAGATCTAAAGCAATGACATAGATATGTAATAATCATCAATAAATATAATATGGGGGCAAAGGGCTGGATGGAAGTGCCTGTTGTCTGTGAAAAATATGACTCTTCTCTCCAGATTTAGGAGTATAGCACGTGAGCATGTGTATGGTGGTGGCATAATTGACCGTACATATTTGTAGTCTTGTCTATTGAATCATAAAGCTGCTCTTGTACCAAACTGATATTTATCAATCAAGTAAAATGTAATTAGGGGCCGGCCCGGTGGCGCAAGCGGTTAAGTGCGCGCGCTCCGCTGCGGCGGCCCGGGGTTCGCTGGTTCAGATCCCGGGCGCGCACCGACGCACTGCTTGGCAAGCCATGCTGTGGCGGCGTCCCATATAAAGTGGAGGAAGATGGGCACAGACGTTAGCCCAGGGCCGTCTTCCTCAGCAAAAAAAAAAAAGAGGAGGATTGGCGGATGTTAGCACAGGGCTGATCTCCTCACAAAAAAAAAAAAATGTAATTAGAATAATTCCTCACAGCTCTTTCTAATCACACCAGACTGTCACCACAATGAGGTTTTATTAAGTGACAAAATATTTTAGTTCATTCTGCAATTTATTTGCTTATAAACCACATTGTAAGCTATTAAGTATCAGACTGACAATTTTTCAAGCAATATATAGGGAAATCTTAACTAGCTAGTTTAAACTAATACCTCTAAGTAATACAGCATAAAACTACATCTATTATAATGTGTCTAATGGAAGTGTACTTACTAACAGCAACAATAAAGTCTTTGTGTAACTTGTAAGTCATCAGTGGTTCTGCAAGGCACCTACAATAGAGAAGGAAGCACACTTTAGAATGGCAGCTTCTTTTTATTTCCCCCGACCTTTCAGTGCTTCTTTAAGAACTGAGTGATCAGGCAGTTTGATAAAGTCCTAATAGGCAAGCTCCAAGCAGTCCTGAAACGCAGACCTCAAAGACACCCATGCCCTTCAGCACTTCTTGCCACAACTGTATTAAAAGCAGAGCCTGGGAGACAATTTTTTCACTTTGTGAGAACTATTGGACCAGAGGAGCAAAACCCCTCTCAGATATGGAGATAATGGTTTTAAAAAAAAAAAACTTTCAATTTCAACTTATTTAAAAAAAAAAAAAATGAAAACTTCACAAATTTAACGTGAGAGAGAAATTATTTAGTATTCATAAAATATTGCAGCCTTTTAAGTTTATTATTTGAAAAGCCAAGTGTAGGTTCTAGAACACGAAACATAAACATTACCACCTTGTGCTATTTCACCTCCAGTGAAGGAATCGTGCTAAGGAGTGAAGCTTATGCACACGGGCTCCGAGGAGTCACGTGGGGACAGTCCACGGAGGTGGGTGAGCGACCACATGCAGAGTGTCAGAAGCTAAACCCTCCTCACCTGAGGTAGTTTTTCAGCCCACTTGTTATTGTCTTATTATCCCACAGTTCAATATCAATGTCAATATCAGGAGGGGATTTTGGAGCTGAAAAGAATAAAAATAAGATGTTTAAACTGGGCAAATCAAAATATCATTCTTACCATTAAGAAAATGGATAGAAACGTAACTATGTCAAAGAGAGAGGCAGTATTTCTTAGGATGCCAATGCAGTTAACTTGAGGATTGTTGTTTGTGTGAGTTGGTGCAAAGCTCACTGTGACACTAAACCTCAAAGATTTCTTGCGGAATAGTTTCCCAAATCAAACTACTGTTAATTGCTAACATCACAGAGTGCTTACCATGTGCTGGGCATGCTTCTAAGTGCTTTATATGGATTAACATATCAAATCCTCATAACTTTTAATGAGACAGGCACTATTATTATCCCCATTTTACAAATGAGGAGGCCGAGGCACTGACAGGTTAAGGAAATTACCCAATGTCACAAAGCTTTTTAGTGACCAAGTTAGGATTCCAAACCAGGCAATCTGAATCCAGTATCCATAAATCTCACTACACCTCTAGCTAATCAAAGGACATTTGAGAAAAAGTTCAACATTATAAAAAGACCTCCTCTCAAATTCTGATTGTTCATCTTTTACAACTGAACATTAAAAACTGAATACAAATATTAATTTTAAATAACACTTGAAAATACTGGAAGACAAACAATAGGCTGTATCTGCAAGAAAACTATGGCTTAGATTACATGTAAGAATACAAAAATCAATTAAGTAACCAGCTTCATCCAAAACTTACAAAATGTGGTGTTCATGAGCTTCTGAACTTTGGAGTTCACGCCTCCTATTCGGTAAAGGCCTAAAACGGTGATGCCTAATGGGAAGGAAAAATACAACGAAATGGTTTGAGACACAGCTTCCCAAGACAGAACGTTAAAAACTCAGACATATGCCTACACAGAATTTGAAAGCTACTTATCCAATTTCCCAGTCTCACTTCAGCAAACCTACCCTAGAAATACCCATGAGACATCTATTTCTCAGAGCACACAGTGAACAGTGATTTGAAAGTCTTTGAAGATCTTCAAAGTGGCAAAGTACATCTTCTTATTCACCACTATTTGAATACAAAAAAGCAACAAAAATGGGAAGGGATGGTCAGTATTTCCCATCTTCCATTTCTTCAGTCTTGGAGTCTAGCATGTTGGACAGTTCGATGGCGTTTCTATCTTCATTTTAAAGGTAAGGGAACACATTCAGAGGATTTAAGAAACCTGTTTAACTTCGCGAAACTTCTAAGTGGCAGCACCAAAATTTGACTCTAAATTTATAGAACTCCAAAGCCCAATATGAGGTTTGCTTTAGACAAGTTTTCCCGGAAGTGAAAGGGTCTAGGAGAGAGGTCATGACTAGAACGAGGGGAAGTGCTCAAATTGTGGTAGTGACTAAAATCAGGAAGGGAAATGGCGTAGGGAAGCAGAAGAGCTGAAGACCAGCTCCTTAGGAATCGTACCTTCCTAACGCTTGGAAAAAAAAAGAGGTGATTATAATAATAAATAATACAGAGTCCATCAATAAGAAGTAAAGGGAGGCCATATTACAAAAATTCATTAAAAAGAAGTATGTTGGTAGTATGATTTTGGGTAAGTTGAAGTTCAAAGTATAGCCAATTATGTAGTTGTATAATTTATACATTCATATAATTCTAAAACTCATCTCATGTTAATAACTAAATACATTCTCATTTTCTGAGCAGATTCTACGTAAGAAGGGACCACACAACAGTAATGATGTATCTGTTAGGCAACACTGACCTCTTGTTTCCACAGCTTGAATGCATTTTCTTACAAAGTTGAAGCCCGCTTCATTCAAGTACACTGAAAGGAAAAGAAAATCCTATTAAGTGTTTCTGCTGAACTTACATTCCCCCGTCAGATGGCTCTGTTGTTTCATGACTCAATGGCACAGTGGTTATTGAGCTTATCAAATATTTTGGTTAGCGTCTGAATTTTTATTTTGGGGTAGAAGTAGAAGAGGGAAGTTCACATTCACCAAAATTATTATATCAATTTGCTTACTTAGAAACATAGATCCTTCACAGAAAGTAAATATGTTACATGGATCCCATCCATTTTTCCTAAAATTAGCATTATCCTTCACTACGTATTTTTCCAGATGATAGAAGCAAATGTGATAAGAGTAAACCTTTACTTTGTGTTAATAACTATATTACAAAGCTATTCACATATTCTTTCCCATGGGATTCTCAAAACAACATTATGAAGTAGAGAGAAAGCTTTGCTATCTTAAGATGATTCACTAGGTTGCTGAAAACTTCACTTTTCTTTGTTCTGAGATCTAGAGCCATATTCCAACTCAGGTCTCCTGAATTCAAGCCCAAGGTTCTTTCTATTGCGTTTTGTACCATTTTCAAAATAATTCAAAATATGCTTAGTAAGTCCACTAAAAATCCCCCAAAGATTCTACATTATGAAATAGCAATTTATTTTCATATTTTTTGCCAGATTTTCTTTAAATCTCTTCTAATTTTCTTATGGTTTGGGGGCCAGATGAAATTAGATTACTTGTTAAAAGTGAAAGAATTTAAGAATACTAACTAATGCACAGAGGAAAAACTCAAATGCTTTTTCGGTACTATAATGAAAATTTTCATCACGTGTGGTGGAGATATGATATTTTTTAATATTCCCAAATAATAATACATGAAAACAATTCAAATCAATAAAACATTAAAACTGGTTTCCATTTAAAGACAATAGATTAAACACATTCATGTAGCTCAACACAGATCCACAGATGAAAAATATATATCAAAAAATTATGCAAAAAAAATCAAGAAGGGGTACCAGCAACAGATGAAAGACTTTGAAAAAATCTTAGACATAGAAAACCACTGAAACTGAATTGACTGAAAGGTTCGAGAAATCTGTTGCCCTAATTTATTAGGTGTTGTTAACTGAAAAAAGTAATCTATGGGACAGACAATATGACCCAATTTCTTAAAACGTAAAAATTTGAGGGTATGAATGTTTCTACTTTATAGAGGAAAAAACTCTAGAAAAATCGACGTAAACTGCAAGTAAAAAAGAAGAGGACAGAAAGTAGAAATTGTTGTTTTTATTCATTGGACTTTGAAACTGTCTGCTATTTAAAAAAAATTTAGTTCTTTAGAAATTAAAAAAAAAAATCAATAGATGTAAAAATGTAAAATGCCAAAACTAAAATACATATTGCCACCAATAGGAAGTGGCTCATTTATTTCTGTGTCCTCAGTGCCCTAGGTCAAGTCAACAGAACTCAGTGAATGCTCTGGATGAACTCAACAAATGAGATTTAATGCATTAAATAAGCGTCTTATTAGAGTTGACTACCTGCATGAGAGTGGAGCTCCTTTGGGACCCCAAGAAGGGACTGCTTGCTTCCAATAACCCAAAATGCCAAGCACAACATTATGCATTGAGATATTTAAAAATATTTATTGAACATCAATATAAAGTGAATGGCGAGTTGAGGAACCAATTATTAATTTGCATTTTAAACTACAAAAACTGAGCCAAAAAATGCAACTCTAAGTAAAAATGATACACTAGCATTTTTATATCAATTAAAACCAAGTTCCTTACATTTATAATGTTTGGTTTTTGAGGTCACATTGTTCAAATTTTCAATAAAAAAGATTAAAAGATGGGGCCAGCCCCGTGGCTTAGTGGTTAAGGGTGTGCGCTCCGCTACTGGCGGCCCGGGTTCGGATCCTGGGCGCACACCGACGCACCGCTTCTCCGGCCACGCTGTGGCCGCATCCCACATACAGCAACTAGAAGGATGTGCAACTATGACATACAACTATCTACTGGGGCTTTGGGGAAAAAAAGGAAGGAGGATTGGCAATAGATGTTAGCTCAGAGCCGGTCTTCCTCAGCAAAAAGAGGAGGATTAGCACGATGTTAGCTCAGGGCTGATCTTCCTCACACACACAAAAAAAAGATTAAAAGAAAGAGAAAACCATTTTTTAAAAATTTCAGTAAAAATTGCCCTTGGTAAAATGAATGAAGATAACTGTGATATATAAAAACAGAATTTTTTTAAGTATCCATTTTGAGAAAAATAAGCAATAACCAGGCTATACCTTGAAGGTATACTGGGATATTTGGCAGCAATACCACAGTCTATTGTAATAAACCGATATCACAGACTCATTATGAAGAATAAAATCTTACAGACATTCCAGTCTGACTGCCAGGTCGTTCCATGGGTGCTCCTGTCCTGATGTGCTCCATGGATCTTATGCTTTAGCTCTCTTCACAGGAGTAAATGAAACAATCAATTCAGAGATGTGGAAGAATATACTGAGCTGGCAAAAATAACCATGCATTTTGTTTTGTTTCCTTTGAACACCCTTTGCTATTGTCTGAAAGAATACTGGGAGGTTCCATGGTGCAGAGATAGCGCCCAGCTTTGTTCAGAGTCAAGCCAACCTGGGGTTGGATCTCAGCTCTAGTATTTACTGCTGTATGAAGGGGAGTGTGCCTATTAACTTTTATGAACTCTAGTTCTTTCACATATAAAATGAGGGAAATAATAATACATAAGTTAAAGGGTTGTAGTACGATAAAGACAAAACCACCTGAAGCACTAAGAGCGCCAAACAATGGAACAAACCTAATTAAATGCTAGTTTCCTTCTCCATGTGCTCCTGTCCACACATTACTGCGATATGAAGGAAAATACAAGAAGAAATGATAAAAGAAGTCAGTCATTATTCCTAACAAGATGAAAGAGACAGTAGTTACTCTCCCACTTATTAGCTGTATTACTGGACATAGTTTTAATCTCTCTGTGCCTCAGTTTCCTCTTCTATACAATAAGGATAATAGTAGTATCTTCTTCATAGGGCTCGTTACAAATGAAATACATTAACATTTGCAAAGCTCCTAGAATAGTGCTTGGAATTCAGTAAGTGCTACAGAATTGTTGGCTATTATCATCATCATCATTATTGGCTAGAGGAGAATGTAAATATCCACATATGTAAATTACATCAACAAGGCATTCTTTGGGCATGGCTGAAGTCACTAGGGCTTGAGGAATTGTCTGCCAGGAGTGTTATTTTTCAAAGAGGCATACTATGTTACTTATTTTAAAAACATTTGGGGCCAGAACAATGGCCTGCTTCTTTAAACAAATGTAGATCAGGCATAAACCACTCAGGCCCTGTGAATCTAGCTGGCTACTGCAAAGATAACAAGTTGGATATTAAAAAATGTCCCTGTGCTATCATTATACTTCAATAAATCACAATGAACAAACATATCCCTCACGGGAACTGAACAGACTGCAGTAGCCCGGGAGGACTGTTCACCCATACTTGCTGCCCCTTCCTGCAGGAAGACTATGCTTCTCAGCTCCCTCAAAGACAGGCTTGGTCATGTGATGTGCACTAGCCAATGGAAGTTACAAAGGTCATTATCCAGCAGACACTAAGAGCCAGTATGTAGTTTGCCATGTTCTTTTCCCCTCCGGCATAAGATCAGCAATGATACAGAAAGAGGCTACTCCGTGAGCTTGGGTTCCAGAGTGAAAACTATGTATAAAAGAGACACAGCTGACCTGAATGGACAGCAGCATGATCCAGAAATGAACCTTCACTGTGGTAAGTCTCTGAGATTTGAGGATCATCTGTTACCACAGCATAACCTGGCCAGTTCTGATTTAATTATGTATAACAAACAGTTTGCTGTGGCAAAAAGGACTAAATGAAATTAAGCCAATCCCCCCAAAGTAACTTGTCCTTGCTTAATTGGAATATACCGGTTTTTTTGGCTACTGACTTGTCAATTCATACCAAAAGGCAGCAAAGGGCAGTAGTGGCAGCATCCATTCATAGTTGCCTTGCAAACTACTGTTCAACAATGCCTTCACTCAAGCACCCAGCAGTTTCTGCTGAGGTCTGAGGAGAAGAGGTCAACGTGGCTGAAACAAGCTACAGCGTGCACTGTCTCCCAGCGGCTATGTTAAGAGGCAATCATAAGGAGAGCTGTTTCTGAGACACGTCAGGGGCAGTAACATTCTGTAAAGGAAAACGAGCAACCTTCCAAAGCCATGAAAGGATTACTACACTTAATGTCAGGGCTAATGAGAATTCAACAAAATTGGTTCTCTCTAGCTTTAAAAAGAAAAACTGGGAATTCCTTAGTGTTTAAATGAAATGTCAGTGGAAACAGTTCTTACTAAATCAAATCACACCATTAAAGGCTGATAATTTACCATAATTCTCTTTTAGCAGAGGACAAGGTACTCCTGCTACAACAGTAGAGAGCGGAGCATACCCATCCTACATGGTAGAAATACGGATTGCTGAGTCAGGGCTCAGAGAAGACAGCCAATAAGTGCTTACTGATTCATGGCTTGCTAGTTATTGGTTTGTAGCTGGCTTGCTCAAGTACCCTCTCTGATGGCTTGTACAAAGGTTAGAGCTTCTCAGCTAACAGAAGCCACGTTCGTCAACTCCTCCCCAGGGCCCCTACGCCCTGTATCTCCCTCTTACAGAGAGGACCTGAGGGATATATGCAGAATACAACTACCACCAAATTCCCAGGAATTGAAATCCTATAATATTAATGATACTTGGTTTTCCGGGGGAGAAGCAGAAGACAGGCTAACTTAAAGAACTTAATTTATTCAATCAAAAGTTCAGTGCAAACATTATTTTTTCCTCTGGAAACTATTCAGGGCTAAAGCTTTCATTGAATCCCAACTAAAGTTTCCACACGGCAGTTTAGCAGCAAGAAAGCTATCAATCTCAACAGAATTCAAACAGCCATGAGGAAAAGAAAAAGAATAGTCTTCCACACAGCTA